GGTGATATAACAGCCTACAGCTGATAACACTATAAATTTCTGTTCATAAAAAATATTAAGAGAAATTTTATAACAAATATCTGGAAATATCTGTGTATGTATATAGAGACATTAAAAAAAATATTAATTTATTAAATTTAATTTGTAAATCTTATTTTCTGATTAATTCACATATCCAAAATATTGAATCTATTCAGATAGGTTTCTATTTTGATAAACTCATTTCACCTTCGCGTTTAACCTGATATAATCGTGTTGTGAATTTTGTATCTTATATGTATGAGCTAAATTAGCTTAAACATATTTAAGAAGTAGGAAGAGTTTCATCGAAAAATAATATAAACAATTTACAACTCTTTCCAGTTCTTTGTATCGGTTTCTCTTAGTTATCATTTCTTAAAAATCATGAATATAGAGATTTTGATTTCGAGAACTTTGAGTACACGGACGAAGAGTCGTAGTCTCTGTGTGTGTGTCTTTAATTGAGTCAGTCGTGTCTTTGTCACGTTCAAGTTCGCTCAACTCCTGGGAAAGTTCTCTTTGAAGGACGTTTCTGACCTCTTGAGGTATATCCTCTTCCTTAACTTCTTGTAAGACGTTTTCCAATTCAGAGTTCCTTATGTACACCAGCATATAGGCGTTCGTACAGTGTTTCACAGCCATAGTCATGTCCTCATCCTGACCACCATAATTATGATCAATGGCTTCCTGCTTTGTACACCTTGAGACGACATCATCGTCGAATTTGCACCACTGTTTGTAATCAATGATGGAAAAAAATAATTATTTCAAAACTTGTAATCTTCAAATTTAATTAAGTGTAAACGGGCTATTATCTTTTAACGATATTGGAAGTACAAAAAAAAGTGTTTACATGGATTGTAATTAAAAATTTGGTATATATTTCTATCTTGCTGAATTTATATTTGAATCAGCGAACTAATGTATCGAAGAATATTAATTCTATGAACATTCTATGAACATAATACTTGGAGGAATCTGTTAATGATCTGTTTACACTTAGACACGGATAAGTCTAATTATCTTACTAACTATAACTAATATCTTCTATTACTATATTCTTTATATTTAAAATAATTCTAAATACTATAGTTTTTTTATCAGTTTAATATTAATATATAAGTTAGACATACTTTTCCATCACCAGCTGGATTGATAAATACAACGTAATGACCACCATGATTATCTCCACTGTGAACTAAGACTGCATGTAGTGTATAATCTGCACTCGTTGCTTCTTTATTTTGCAAATATTTGTCAAGGCTTATTTTGTCATAGAATTCAAACCTTTGTAAAACGTAACATGTATATATTTTATAAATAATTACAATAAATATAAATGATTTGAAATCAGTTTAATATATTATATCTAACCCAATATTGTTTACCTGTCATTAAATTTGACTGAACAATCTGTAACTGGATCATACTGAAATCGCATTAAATGCAGATGCAAAACTGGTGGAAAAGATGAAAAGATAACTCCTTTTTCTGCTTCCTGTAATCCATGTTCTCCTGCATCATATTTATTATCACCATCCAGGCTTTCAGTGCTTACGTAGTCATTAAAGGATTCATAAACTAAAATAATAATAAATATTTCATATATCATAATGAACGAAAGTCATTGACATTAAGAATTAACTTATTTAAAGAAGTAATAACTTACTATTCTTCTTGCCCTTTATATTTAACTGTATGTCGTAGAAAGTTTCAACCCTAGTTGACTTATAATCAATATTTTTACATTTAATAAATGACAACATTTTCCCTTCAAATAATTTTGGTACTGTACCCTCCACGCATGTTCCTTTCATTTTACTTTCCAACTTATCTAAAAGCTGAAAAGGTTATCAGTAAAATATATGAATCTAATAAAATTAGATCGTTTAATTAATATTTCATTATAAACTTATTTCCCTACCACTCGTAAAAATTCTTGTACATCGTGTTGCATGAAGGAATCCAATGTTTCCCAACCAAAACTTTTAGTTAGCTTCTTTGTACCTACTGGCTTATCAGAAAATTGTAATTCATGAAAAACCCTCTGTAAAGCCAAAGCTACACTCTTACTAGAATCATCACTTTCTGTTGGCATTTTATAAACAGCTTTTCGTAACTGAAAACAAAAATATGAATAGTTGCTTATGAGTGTTTAGTTAAAACACTTTTATGAGTATTCAGATTTATTTATATATATACCTAATTTCATGCTTACAAAAATATAACTAATGAATTTCACAAATTTTTGTCAAAGTTTTCTCACTTTCTATTAATTTTGTTCATATCAACGGAAATAAGTTTCTGAGTTAATTTCACTATTTACAATGCCAATTTTATAACACAAATAATTACGTTATACAAGAATTATTAATAAAAGGAATGACATTTTATAAAATATTTGTTTTATTAATTTCTTAATTATTTAACTTAATAATTGTTCATCCAACAACTCTGAAGTTTATCGCATTATTACGCCTGCGTGAAAATTCACAAAAAAAGCATCTCTATGTTAGCACGTTTCTTTTTTTAAGTTGAAAGTTATAATAATTTAATTCACCATATTCAGAATTTTCTTGAAATACAATATAAATTACAATTTATAATACATTTTTCAATTCTCTTCTAAATATTGGACACTTACTGATTAGCACACTCCATTTTCTAGTATATTATACATTGAACTTACCTGATTGGTAAAATACAAAGTTTGAAGTAGAGAATTCATATAACACGTAGCACCTTGATTTTTTAAACCTACAAATCCGGTATGTTTTTTACTATCCCAACTGACACCATGTGGAGCATCAGCATTCACATGAACCTATTTCAACAAATTTAATATTAAGACTTATGTTAAATGCCTCATAAAATTAACACAAAAGTGTTATTTGATTTAAATTTTTTGGGGATCTTACAAACCTCAAGTGTAATGGTATCATCTTGAATGTAACCTTTATCGGGATCCAGAAGATCCTGCCATGTCATAAAATGACTAAATCCCCAATCATTTTCTTTACTATAGAACAGGTGTTGAATCTCTGAAAAAAGTATCTCATAAAAATGTATATCCATGGTGTAGAAGAGCTAAATTTTCAAATAAAAGTGTAAGTGTACAAAAGAGAGTACTTATGAAAGTTAAAATAAAATATTTATATATTATGATATACTAACTTCTGCTAAATGGTTCTTGCCCTTCTTTACAAGAAAGTAACCGAAGATCTGCAGTTGCATAACAACTCCATGATGTTGATTCACTTTCTCCATTACATTGGAGATAAAAACCAAGTGATCTTTGAGGTGGTCGTTCCTGTGCCTGACTCGACCTTGGCATTACCATTATTTTCCACGGTAAATTACGAACATAACATGCCGGTGACAACTGAGTATCTTTCATTGACGAAACATTTTCTACTACGAAGCGAAATATCACTTCCGATCTTGCTTCATCTAATAAAAGATAAAAATAAGATTACCATTTCAACATGTTAACACCAATATAGATGTTACCAAATTATACATATAGTAGAACGATGAAAAATAAATAAATTTATGCAATGTGAAAATTACTATTTTAGCACAAATTTTATTCATATTAATATAAGAAGATATTAGAAAATATTATAAAATGTTGTCAAAAGAACTATTTATTGAGATAATTTATTTATGATGAAGAAGACATAGATGATAAAATCTATAACAGTTATCCTTAATAGAGTATTAATGAAAAAATTTGTTTCACAAACTTTTTGCATATAGAATAATCTCAGAAGGTACATTTTAAGGTACATCAAAAAACGATGTCTGTCATTATACAAACACATGTTCACGAGATAAATGCCTATACAGTCATTCAGGCAAAGCAATTATGTATGTATTAATCCCTTACCCTACGATTTCTTTTATGATTGCAATGATCAGAATTTCTTTGTAGTTTATAATTTGCTAGAGAAACAAACAAGTTGATATTGTATGTCTACATGTTCCCCAATAGCTGTACATTAACAACAACAAAATAGAATATTATTTTGGTTTAAGCGAATTAAATAACTTACATATTTATTAGACTCTGTTCAAAATCTCCATCACATGTCTGACACAATATTGTAGGGCAAAGGGTTAATAATTATA